TAACTTAAATACCCACATGTGTAAAAACTAGTGGGTAACAGAAATTTGAATACCCAAATAGAATTACTGATACCCAATGATTTTAAAATGCATGGTTAAAATACCCACAACACCAAAAGCTTATCTGGAGCTCTGATCTCATTCACATTTAAAAAACACTTTCTCTAAAAAACAAGCCAGCATCTGAGTATTTCCAATTTCTGTGTGGTAATCGCGATAAACGTGGTCGCCCGAAAACGTATGATCCGACGATATACAGATTCATTGCTGACCAGTCTGCTTTTCATGTTGTGTCGCTTCATTGATTTTATCTGAAGTTATTCGGTTGCATGTCACTAAGAATCTTGAATGAAACAGTTGAAGGAGATTTCCCTTCAGACATGTCGTTTCATGTTCGATTAGACTGTCTCACAGTCCCTGAACCATATTATTTTCCTTTCCCAGCCCTTACGTAATGCTATAGCTCTAAATGAAGCAAGTCTAGGTTTGACATCGTTCAGTATGAACCTCCAATCTCACCGGAGCTTCTTTTCAATTTAAATGTAGTTGCTTGTTTCTATAACAATCATATATTTTCAGAGATTATGCGTAAGTCTACATGATCGACCTACTACACACTTGAAGCTCATTTGTTAAACGGTTCTCTTTCAACGCAAATCGACGGATCACCAATACTGGGAAGACATGTTTCCAACGCCATTAGCTCTTCAACAGGGTACTTCAGTTATATTCGGATATTTGTTTGGATAAGAGGCTGAGAGCTCTGGGATGTAGTTCAGAAAAGTCGATTCTACAGAACACGGCGTTTATTGAGTGAATGAGTTGACTTTGATAAGTATTTCACTTAAACCTCAAGAGAGTAATTTGATTGGAAGGCTAATTTGAACGGCGTATCACTCCTCGGACGCAAGGGGAACCTTTTGTATCGAATGTATCTTGGGTATCAAAACAGAATGGAAATAAAATACACTGAATATTCGTGTCAACAATGCTGATTATGTTTATTTGTTGTTTAACGTCGCACAATATTTCAGCTATACGAGGGCGGACTGTAAATTATCGAGTCTAGTGATCGATATTGTGAACAACGTTCCCCGCCGTCGGGGTACGATGACACGCAATCAACCAAATCACGTGACAACCTGGTCCAATTGGTCACCTACGACAAGAACCTAATTCTAACCCGATATCCCCACGGGGGCTTATTCTGTGGCTCCATCCGACATGTCAAAGGTCACGTCCGTTATTCCCACACGTTTAGGACCGTCATCGTGGTCTAGTGGTAGAGCGTCGTCCGTATTGAGCGGTAGGTCCGGGGTTCGATCCCCGACCGCGTCATACCAAAAGACGTTTAAAGGTGGTACTTGTTGTTACCCTGCCTGGCGCTCGGCATAAAGGGGATAAAACAACGACTGGTCGGCTCGGAGATTCAGGATAAAATGCGGCATGGTATCTCAGTGGGGTAGCACTATAAAATTGGTGTTTGTCCGGTCTAGTACAAGCAGCCACACACACACACACACACACGTTGCTATATAAGTGCAATAATCTTGAACGCGACGTTAAACCCCATTTCACCTCACCTCACCCACACCCTTAGCTAGAATGTTATTAGCGCTCAGTAGAGATAATATAATCACGCAGTAAATAATCATTCAGTTTATAAAAATAGTCGTTTTTATTTTCTGACGCCAATTGATAATGTAGAGAGTCTAACGCTGACGTGATGCCCGCTGTAGATATTGTAACTTGTAATCGATTAGTTTCCAATACAAGCCTGATTGTAAACACAGGTAAACTTTGGCAATTACTACGTATTCACTGTCATCTCTGTAACTAGGCAACTACATCGTTGTGCCCCAGCACCACGTGTCTCTGTATAATCTGTATCCTTTTGTACGCAATGATTTTTAAACATACAAACAATCATTTATCTGAAGTTTGGCGTTGTCCGCCCAGTCGTTTCATATTCCGACATCATATTCTAAATTAGCTTAAAACACTTAACGACATATGGTATTATTATCATCATCATCATCATCATTATTATTATTATTATTATTGACAGAAACCATTCATCTAACAATGCGGGGAATCCCCCCCCCCCCCCCTCTCTAATTTCTGTAATTATATTTCTTCCTTCTCGTTTCGGGGCCTCTCCCTCTACCCCCCCCCCCCCCCCCAATCTCTCTAATTTCTGTAATTATATTTCTTCCTTCTCTCTATCATTGTCTCGTTACACTCGTTTCGGGGCCTCTCCCTCTACCCCCCACCCACCACCCACCCCACCCCACCCCACCCCTCCCTCTCTCTCTCTCCTCCAGTGTAATGTTGGAAAAGTGTATCTCCAACACTTGTAGACAGATATACATCCGACACGCGCTGATTAAATATAGGGGGAACGACAACGTGCTCGCCACACTACAGTCGTCATGTAACACCTCTACATACATGGCATATAACATGCATAGTTGTGACCCATGCTGGATGACGGGACAACTGTGACACGGTTCAATGTAACATTAGCGGTAGAACACGTCGTAAATACGTCATATCTTGAACGACATTCCAGAATATTACTGCGGTGACGTCGAGCTCGCAGTTACTGCGCTGTGTGGAGCTCAGACAACAGCGCAGTGGAGGAGCACTTGGAGGATCTCGCTCATGAGCTGCAAGTTGCTTTATATATATGTGTAAATATAATTTATGTATGTGTTTATGTGTGCATGTGAATGCGTATATATGCAATGTATGTATGTTGTCATGTGTATATGTATATGTGTATATACGCATACTAGTATATGTATATGTGTAAATATGTATGTCTAATTTATGTATATATGTGCATATATGTATTTGTGTAATTTATGTATATGTATATGAGTAAATATGTATGTGTAATTTATGTAGATGTATATGTGTATATATGTACATGTGTATATATGTATATGCGTAATGTATAATATTATATATGTATATGTGTAAGTATGTACATGTGTATATATGTAAAATATATATAAGTGTATGTGTATGTATTTATGTACATGTGTACATGTGTATATATGTATGTGTATATATTTATATATGAAATAGGTGTTACAATTAAGACGTTGACAACAGGAAGTACCTGTGATTGATGAACATGTTTCACTTCCAGTCAACGCGACTTGCAAGATCCAGGAAAGAAAATTTATTGTTCGTTGCATTTAAGGCGGATGTTGTAAAACATGGAACGAAGTAGTAAATTCAAGTACTTAAAAGAACCTGTTGTTTTAGCTTCCGTTTCTATCAAGACATGCAGTAATGGAGAAATAGCTTGAATCTCTTGATTCTGGATGCAGAAAGGAGCCCCGAAAGGAGCACCGAAAGGGCGTGTTGATTGTACTTTCGGAATAAACTCATTCGAGTGATTTCTCCGATTTAAACCATGTTATGGTCGATATATAATTTCTTTACAAGTTTGCATAATGACCTGTTGTTAGGTTAATATTACTTGTTAGAATGGAAGTTCAGAATGGCCAGTGAATTCCTGACTCAGAATCAACTGCAACAACAATAGCGTGACGTCAACATAATAGTTTAAGGGTAGAGCATCCGAAGTTCAATCTGTTTCCCTCCTGTGATGTAATGCGGTTCCTTGAAAATGAGGCCTGTTTATCTAGGTTTTATACTTGTATTGATCGATTAGAAATAAGTATTTCCTAGTGTCACAGCTACAGTGAGATGTCTAACGCGGCTTGGAACATGTCGGATGTACATTCTGTTTCGTTTCAGTGAGGAAGTCAACTTTAAACACAGACGTGACACACACACGTGACACACACAAACGTGACACACACAAACGTGACGCACGTGTAGACCTTTGTAGAGTCCACAAACAAAACATGCTGCTGAGAAACCAAAGATCATTTTCACTTTGGATTCGAACATCACAAACACTGGATGTTGCTTGACACAGTACTAGGTTCGAGACCCCCGATATGGAATGTAAGACCACGTCTTTCAAAGTATACGTATTTCGACCACGTTTTAATAGTAGTATATATGTTCCTTTAACTTTGGCTAAATTTGTCATAATCGCCAACAGCTGAAGGGATGATGTAAATCCTGCTGGGGTCCATGCAGGTAGCAAAAGTACTGTAAGTCCCCATGGACCCTAGCACGGTGATCTACCTTCAGCTGCTGGCGATCTCTAGCCCATTTTTATTCTGTGTTGTCAACACATTCTTTCTTCTTTTAAATATGCCTCAACTAGTTTTAAATCTAATCTGTGATATGCTAGTTATCGTACTGTCCTTCGATGACAAGTTTTTATAAAGTTTAAATATATACACCAGAAATGGGCTTCATGCGTTGAACCCATGTGGGGAATCGAACCAGGGTCTTCGGCGTGACGAGCGAACGCTTTAACCACTAAGCTACCCCACCGCCCCTCGACGGCCTGTGATGTAATTCTGCTGGACAAACCACACATCCTATCAACAGCATAAGGGATGATTCATGCCATATAACGGTATGATACCACGCAATCAGGTGTCACACTCCAATTATATGTCTGGGGAACTCAACAGCAATGACGTTTAACACAAAGATGAAACCTCGGGAACGGCCACGGCGATGACAAACCAACGTTCAATATCAACGCGGATTTGGTAATAGAAAAACCCGGATCCTGGCAAGTCTAAGGGACGCAACTCTGCGCCGCGAAATACGGTGCCTTTAATTAGGACGACAAGGCCAGCCGTGCCTCAATATTCACATCTTTTGACCATGATCATTCGTCTCAGTAAAGCCAGCTCTGTCGACATCGGGAACCTTTAAGCACGTGTGTATAAAGGGGGTGATCTGTCTGTTCATTCATAACCAGCCCCAGGCAGATCTATCAATGCTCCTTCGATTACATGAATTCTTGCACGCGACCTTCCACCTCGCTATCTCTTGGCATGACACTAGGAAATGTATAATTTCGTGGTAATTGAATGTTAATGAGATGTACATACCTAGAGCGTTCACCTCTTTCACCTGTCCCTTGGCGAGATCAAAGGATTCCATCAAGCCGAACCAGCCGTTTGGGTAGACAGGGGGTATATTGCCTACTGCCCGTTGTCTGCGAACCATGTTGGCCATTTCTCGCTTCCCCAGGGCGGGGTCGTGTGCGTATCCCACATCCTCCAATCTACGTACCCGGTTGAGAGGTACAAAAAATAAACGATACCCATAGTACAACAGCAGAGCGATGGAAAAGGCACATGCCGTAGTAATAATAGGCCATTCCACAATAAACGCACAAAGTTCAACCGCTAATCCGTTTCCATGAAATAGTGAAGTCGTGGTTTCAATCCACAGTGCCTTTACCTCTTTCAAGGACTTGGGGAATCCCGTCTCCTTGCCCGACACGAAGTTTGTCAATGTACACAGAAAACACACTGTTGCGGAGTATATACACCGCGGCTCCATCCTACTCGTACAGTGTTACCTGCCCACTGACGGGTTCCCATGGACGCTCGGCCTCTTCCGTGCACGACCACACATCCGCCGCTCTGACACACAAACAGATCGATCGGCCCGTATAACTTCAGTCTACGGGCTTGTATCTGGGTCCCTAGGTCGAGATACGAGGCGAAGGTTGTGCAATGTTCGCATGGCTGTTGTGAGTCTTTTCTCGTGAGCCGGAATTGCGAAAGCGTTGCGTGACCTGTATTCTCCTTACAGTGAATGAAAGATTCGCTCGACAACAATGTGTACAGCTAGCAACTACGAACCAGTCAATACCCGCCGTCCGTTATGAACACGTTAATGACGAGTTAAGTCTGGGCGTTTTAAATATTACCGTGCAACAAACACATTGTGTACGCTTGATGCTATTCACTGCTTGGTTGATATACATTAATAAAATTTAGGGTACACAAATAAAGCATTACAAACTTGACAGGACTTATTGTCAGTGCCGCCGAGTCAATGTTCCCGTTATGAACACGTTAATGACGAGCTAAGTCTGGGCGTTTTAAATATTAGCGTGTAACAAACACATTGTGTACGCTTGATGCTATTCACTGCTTTGTTGATATACATTAATAAAATTTAGGGTACACAAATAAAGCATTACAAACTTGACAGGACTTATTGTCAGTGCCGCCGAGTCAATGTTCCCGTTATGAACACGTTAATGACGAGCTAAGTCTGGGCGTTTTAAATATTAGCGTGTAACAAACACATTGTGTACGCTTGATGCTATTCACTGCTTGGTTGATATACATTAATAAAATTTAGGGTACACAAATAAAGCATTACAAACTTGACAGGACCTATTGTCAGTGGCGCCGAGTCAATGTTCCCGAAATTTACATTCATGAATGGTGTCACCGTTACGACTCCGTATAGGGTGTACAGGAGGGAATGGATCCTCATGAATGAAGGGTTGATTTTATTAATGTAAGGCCACGGGTCTATCGTACTGGTGATTTTTGAAGTGGTTGTCAAGTTACAAAACTGAATTCTAAGCAAATATGACCAGCGATATGAACATGGATAAATTTCGTATGCAATATATTGTGAACAGTTGAGATGGGGTGCACATTTATCTGTCGTTGGATTTTCATTAAACTGCAGATTAACATATTCACTGCCATCATAATCATATTTATCAGGGACTAAAATGAAATGGTATTTATCCTCAATTGCATCCTATACAACCAAATATATACCAGTTACATCGTTCACACATTCTCGGGTGCCTAGCTACGTTCCTATGTCCCCTAAGGTCAGTCAATACATTAGGCGAGCTACATCCACACTGCGCTTCAGCTGTCCTATGTTTCGTCCAGTGTATCTGGACAAGATTTGTCTGCTGATATAGCATTTATAGAGCTTATGGTAATGAATTTATTAGAGGATAAAAACATTATGTACATATGTTTAAAGAGTGAGTCATTTCAGGAGTAAAAAATAATCTGTATCCTTTTGTACGCAATGACTTTTAAACATAATAATAAACAATCATTTAGCAGAAGTTTGGCCTTGTACACCAGTTATCAGCACCAATCGTTTCATATACCGACATCATATTATAATTTGGCTTAAAACACTGGACGATATATGGTATTATTATTATTATTATTATTATTATAATTCATATCTCTCTCTCTCTCTCTCTCTCTCTCTCTCTCTCTCTCTCTCTCTCTCTCTCTCTCTCTCTCTCTCTCTCTCTCTCTCTCTCTCTCTCTCTCTCTCTCTCTCTTATCTGTGGTTTGTCCAGCAACGAGTTGAAGAATAAATGGAATCTAGCGTGCCGTAATCTCTATGTGCCATTGACATAGCGCCCGTAACATGATCAGATGATTCATTGTTTTCATAAGTAAATCTTAAAAGGGGTTCCCACGTTTAAGTTGATAGAATCTGCGAAAAGTATCAGATGTCTTTGAAAAATTTATAAACGTTGAACCATAACAATGATATCTGTATCGAGAGAATGTTAGCTACTGCAGTTACAGACTGAAAAGAACCAATCACTACCCATACGATCTCTTCGTAATCACGAACCTCTCCGTTATAAACCGCTAAGAGCGGATTAAAGTTATATTAAGACCCTGTATCTAATTACTTCAAGTGTTGACGGTCAGCTATTGAATGCATCCGACCTAATTTTGACAGTTTCGTGCACTACATGGACACTTTGGGTGAGAGGTATGTTGATCGCGTGACATACCAGGTGACAACGCCATGTTGACCACGTGACGCCATGTTCACGAGAGGCTGGTCACGTAATATTTGCGTTGGGGAGAGGTTGAACGATTCCGAGAACAAGTGTTTTGCGTGTTTGCGTTTTCTGATATCATTATATTGTTATAAAGTATAGCTGACTGCATTCCACTTGAAGCATTGAAAACGAGATCATCTTGAACACATGAAGTATTGAAGTACAAAGCCAGTGAACAACCCGTGGTTGACAGTACGAACAACGATAGGAGCATGACGTCACACAGTGTAAGCTGGTCACGTGTTATTGCCACTTAGACTATATGCTGCTTGTTAACAAACCGTGCGCCACTTGTAAACAAACTATTTGCTGCTTCTTAACAAACTAAAGGCCACTTGTTAACAAACTAAGTTGCTTGTTAACAAACTACATGTATATGCCACTTGTTGACAAAGTATACGATGCTTGTAAACCAACTATAAGCCACTTGTTTACAGACTATATTCTGCTTGTTAATAAACTATATGCCGTTGGTTTATAAACTATATGCCACTTGTTAACAAACAATAAGCCGCTGATTAACAATATGCCACTTGTCAACAGAATATATGGTACTTGTTAACAAACTGTATGTCGCTGGTTTATAAACTATATGCTGCTTGTTAACAAACTATATGCCACTTGTTAACAAATTATATGCCGCTTGTTAATAAACTATATGCCACTTGTTAACAAGCTATATGCTGGTTGTTATCAAACTATATGCCGCTGGTTTATAAACTATACGCTGCTTGTTAAACTATAAGTCACTTGTTAACAGACTATATGCTGCTTGTTAACTATGACACTTGTTAACTAACTATATGCTGCTTGTTAACTATGTGACACTTGTTAGCAAACTATATGCCGTTTGTTAACTAACTAGCTGCTGCTTGGCACACGAAGGGCAACTGATTCGGAAGCAAGGCACAGGCGGACTGGCCATTGTACCACGATGTTGATTGACCTGAAAGGGGTTGACCTGTGCAAAGGGTCATACTTGCGGCCACTGACCACTGTTCTGCCTGGGAAGTTAATTAGATGTATTCAGGATTTACACAGTTTCGTTACCATGACGGTGAATCATCAACAATTTCTGTCATTTCTCTCTTCTCTCTGTCATTGTCTCGTTATTCACGTTTCGAGGCAACTCTTCCTCCCTCTCTCTCTCTCTCTTTCTAATGTAATTATATTTCTTCCTTCTCTCTATCATTGTCTCGTTATTCTCGTTTCGACACACACACAAACCCCTACACACACACACACAGGGCCATTGCTCTTCACATACAGTATGATAGGATGTGTGCCGTCGAGGGGCGGTGGGGTAGCCCAATGGATAAAGCGTCCGCCCGTAACGTCGAAGACCGGGTTCGATTCCCGACATGGGTACAATGTGTGAAGCCCATTTCAGCTGTCCCGCGTCGTGCTATTCTGCAATATTGCTAAAAGCGGCGTAAAACCATACTCATTCACATACCGCCGAGGTTGCTAGGCAGCAAAAGCCCACCCCTCCTCATCCACTCAGCGTGATAGTCAGATTAACGCGACACGCGGGTAGCGCTGTGATTGTCTCCGTTGCAAGTCGTTGTTGTTTGTAATAAATAAATAAATAAATTAATAAATAATAATTCAATAAATAACGAGTGATGTAATGAACAGACAACTATGATAGAAAAATAATAATTTATTAATACATATTAACATCATACATATATACAGTTTAGCATTGACAGTGGTGGTAATGGTGGAAAGCACACGGAGTTGTTGTCATGACGACCGTACAGAAGGTGAAAGACGGGATATATATTATGCAACACTTTGTCCCAACTATCCACTTCCAAACAAAGACACAACAAAAGCATTCGTATAAATATCAACAAATGAAAGCCGTGAAGCCGTGCATTTTAACAACACTGTGATTTAATTATTTCTGTATGATTGCACATCTTAACCGATGCCTATACACCTGTCATAAATATGTTAATGAATATACAAATAAATAAATTAACGAATCAACAAATGCAGAACTTTATAACGAAAAAATACAAAGAAGTGATACTTCATGAATAAAGCTCAATGGAATTTATTTAATCGATTTATTGAAAAAAAGTTAAGTCTTTAAGTTAAATTTTGCAGTGGGTGAAGAAAGTGCGACGTGTACATGCGCACTGGTATCTGCTAAGCCGGCAGTTACAGACAGGGGAGATCACTCGTGATGGACAAGTCAGGCACACATTCACAATGCTAATATATTTTGAGGACAGTCAAACAAGTGTCTTGTCCGCACTATTTACAGGAAGGCAACATACTGTTATCTACATTGTTATTGCTCCCTGGGTTTAATGCGAGCGCCAAAAGTCACATAATATGTGACAGGAGGCATTCGGGAGTTGTGTATTTGCATAAAAAAGCAAAATAAATCACCATTTATACCCAATTAATTTTGAGTTGCTTGAGTACAAATACGCAGCCATGAAACTGTTGAAAAAGCCGATTGTATAACAATGCCCTCGGTAATGACCTAATATATCCTTTTCTGTATTTTTTTACTCGTCTTTATTTACTGATCGAATACAGGCGTCACATATATTTGAATTCAACTACAGTGAATAACAAGGCATAGCAAGGCGATATGTTTCGCTTGTTGTTTATTCGAAATGTGTATCACTTGTGGCAGCACACAGACAGACGCAAATTATAAATAATAAAAATCTGTCTTTTAAGCAGAAGTAATTAAAACAAATACTGATCCTTGGTGTAAAAATACCCAATAGACCAGACCCAATGGAGTAAAAATATTTTGAATACCTAAAGAACTCTACCAATACCTAATACACCACAAATTATCTGATCATTTCTTTGACGTTTTCTTTTATATATATCCCCCATGGCTTCATTCTGACAATTTTAATTAACTGAGTGAATGAGTGAGTGAGTGAGTTGGGTTTAACGCCGCTTTTAACATTATTCCAGTCATATCGCGGCGTGTCAGCTTAATGTGGGAGGAAAGCCCGAAGTGATGAAGGTCTCAGACGTTTACCACTTCGGTGAATCCCACGAGCACGGGTATGGTGCTGACAAACTTAGAAACATAACCAGGGCGAACCGGGATTCGAACCCACAACCATAGGTTTCTGGCGTGCTCAAGGGACGCAACTCTGCACAGCGAATCGCGGCGCCTTAGACGACTGGGCCACCCGTGCCTCCAACTGAGTGAATGAGTGACTTAGAGACTTTGATTTAACGCCGCTCTTAACAGCATTCCAGTTATATCACGGCGTGTCAGCTTGATGTGGGATAATAGATCAAGTGATGCGAGATGAGTGGGAGGGGATGGTGACTTTGGGCGGTGTTTTTCATAAACTCTTGAGTTTAAATCCCCTAAGTTGGGAGGAAACTACAGGTTTCATTTTATAAATGCAGATGTATGTCCAGATATGTATTTTTTTCATGTTTTACTTAAAACAGAATATAGAGATAGTCATAATTTATTGAACCATCATACAACACCTGATCTGATGCACAGTGGCCGTTTTCCCATGAACTGAATCAATACATTCTATACAAAAAGACTATGATAGACTTTGGAATGTAAATTTTCTTTAATTTAAGGTAATCCAGCTCCTTGATTTGTGATTGTGTAATTTGTGTAAATGCCACGTGTTTACTTTTCAATACAATCTCTCTTCCAGAGTCAATACTTCTATGTTACGCTACCGCTTGATACAAAATGACACATATAAGAAACATATATATTTCCGCCTATCTCGCTATAGTTTATGTATGACACAACCTGTGCAGTGGTGACCTGACCTTAACTGATACGAGCGGCGAACGTTGAGTAATAATACTATATGGCAGAAATGTTATGTTCAGGAAGCGTAACAAATTGCACAGGAAATAAATTAACATATGTTCTTGGTACGATAGTCCAGATAGACCACTGCAGTAATGAATCTGTTGGGGGTCAAAGACCTCGAGTGATGAAACTAATCGGGGACAAAGACCTCGAGTGATGAAGCCATTGTGGACAGAGACCTCGAGTGAAATAAATTAATGTTGTCCATAGACCCCGAGTGATGAAACTAATGGTGGACATAGACCTCGAGTGATGAAACTAACGGTAGACATAGACCTCGAGTAATGAAACTAATGGTCGACATAGACCTCGAGTGATGAAACTAACGGTGGACATACACCTCGATTGATGAAACTAAAGGTGGCCATGGACCTCGAGTGATGAAACTAAAGGTGGCTATGGACCTCGAGTGATGAAACTAATGTAGGACATAGATCTCGAGTGATGAAACTAATGGAGGACATGGACCATGGTGGACACAGGCGTCGAGGGTTGAATCTAAGGGTGGACATAGACCTCGAGTGATGAAACTAATGGTGGACACAGTCGTCGAGTGATGAATCTGAGGGTGGACATAGACCTCGAGTGATGAAACTAATGGTGGACATAGACCTCGAGTGATGAAACTAACGGTGGACATCGCGACTCCGCCATGTTTAGCTTAACACTCTTCACGGTATATTAACACAATGCACTTGTACATACACTTCACGTTCAAGGATAATTGGCGACAACATCCTAAATATGAAACTGCACCACCGATACACGTTTGGAATGTCTGGCCAAATGTCGACTGTTAAGATAAGAAGTGAAACAGAGTGCTTGTCACATAAATATAAATATTTCACATGCATCGCTATATACATTAACATTATATACACATGTAAAATAAATATACCATTCAGCCATATCTGAATATCAGCCATAACGCCAGTGGATACAATGGCCTAGCCTATGTGCAAACACGACTCGAAAGGATTTCTCTACTTAACACGTAAGATTTTACGATTATCTCAACACCATTAAAACTCAGCACGCTGTCAGACAGTCATTCACATGTTTCCTGGCATTCACACATGGTTTTGATTTGTAAATAATAATACATACTCACATTCTCACAAACCAATCTCGCCAATAAAGAATATTTCATTTTGTCTTATACAATCTTGGCACTTTGAGGGACGTCGAAAGATCAGAGATGCATTGAAACTGCTTGAAGGTTACATAAATACCATCACACACAACTCGCAGCGTTAATTTGAGATCGACAATCACTATTCTTTTGTTTCAAAGCTATTGTTCACTACACGCATGACGTCATCGACCACTTTCTGTCATTACGTCATACCAGCAATAGACGAATATATTTACGGTGTCCAGTTGACAGTTTAAAAAGGTGCGACTGTGAGCAGATGACAAAGGTTGTGTTTGGTGGTCAGTCGCTGTAAGACAATTTACCTGAAACGCCGAGAGACCAACTGACCAACTGACCTCCGTCGTGACATGGACACAAACAGCAGGTACAGAACTTCGGATTACAGAAAGTTGGCGACAAACTTAAGTCCACCATCTTAATATATTCCAAATATATTTGCATGTAAATGAAAATGCAAGGGTGACATTTTCACCATTTCAATAAACCTTGTTTTATGTATTTAAAACTATAACTTGACTACGACAAGCCGGAAGCACAATAACTATAGCTCCACACACTGCCCTAATACTGAACCCTGACCTATCACAGCGAGGCCATTGAAGCAGAAACCAGTAATACTCGCAATCGATAACAGTATATCAAGGAATCAACATCGTTTGAATATCAACTCACTCAACCTGTTGTCTCGAACTAACGTTATTGTTCCTTTCAGATTCGCTATCTGGACACTTGTATTATCTCGGTGTTTTCCTGTTCCTCAGATGTCACAATTCCAGGACACCCGAGCTACTTGTATTGAGCCGAAAACTACCGACTCCCCAGCTTCACCTGTATTGAAAATTACGAACTCCTCGACATCACTTGTACTGATCCAAATGAACAATTACTTACTCGTCGACATCACGTGTATTGATCCGAATCCCAAATTACTAACTCGTCGACATCACGTGTATTGATCCGGATCCAAAATTACGAACTCCTGGACATCACTTGTACTGATATTGATCCGAATCCAAAATTATTAACTCGTCGACATCACTTGCATTCATACTGATCCGAATCCGAAAGTTACCAACTCCTCCACATCACTTGAATATTTTTCTAAATCGGAAAATTACCAACGTTTCCACTTCATTTGTAGAGATCCGAATCCGAATGTCACCAACTCCCTTAGAAAGGTCTGCGTTTGCTTCAACGCACGATGATGATCATGATGATGACTGTCATAGTCAACTGTGGGGCAACTGTGGAAGTATCTTTCACCAGTCCAAATTCTCCTTCTGGAATATGAGCCGACGACTGTTTTTGGAGTAGAACTGAGAATACCATCTTCTGTGCTTGGCGATAAGCGAGTCCTCCTTGGATTTCACGAACATGGGTCTTCCTTCATACCGCTTGTTGTTCCATATCATGACATCTCGCTCAACCTACAACAAACCGTACATAGTGTTCTTATTAACTTGTATTTGTTTGTTGTTTAACGCCGCACTCAGCAATATTTCAGCTATATGACGGCGGTCTGTAAATAATCCAGTCTGGACCAGACAATTCAGGGATTGGCATCATGAGCATCGAACTACGCAATTGAGATATGATGACATGCAAGTCAGCGAGCCTGACCACCGATCCCGTTAGTCGCCTTTTACGACAAGCATAGTCGCATTTTACGGCAAGCATGGGATGCTGAAGACCTATTCTACGGATCTTCACGGGTCTTCTAATTAATAATTATTAATGATGTTAATAGTTCACGATTGCAATGTTAAGTTGTTTAGGGTTCAGGCAAACTAATGGTTGATATCATGAGCAACGCCCCCTGCCGCCTAGGTACGATGACACAGCCAAGTCATTCATTATAAACACGGGGCGGTCGGGTAGCCTAGTGGTTAAAGCGTTCGCTCGTCACGCCGAAGACCCGGGTTAGATTCACGACATGGGCACAATGTGTGAAGCCCATTTCTGGTGTCCCCCGCCGTGATATTGCTGGAATATTGCTAAAAGCGGCGTAAAACAATACTCACTCACTCACTCACTCATTCATTATAAAAACCAGATCCTCATTCCTGTCATCGTCCACAGACTGGGGACATATTTTGAACTAGTGTTGAAATTGTTAAGGTCTTCTAGCAATTCATGTAAATGTACTCCTTTTAACGACAAACCCAGTACGAATGAATGTCATTTCAAGCCGCTTAGCATTCCAACAGGAAGGTCCAAAAGTCAATAAAGTTCCTCATTATGAGAATATGTGAGAATTCCACGGGGCAATCCGAGTTCGAAGCGTTTCCCAACCCATACACGTCGTAAGAGGCGACCAAATGGATCCGGTGGTCAAGCTTGGGTTGATTGACTGTCATCGTACCATCGTTGCTCATAATATCACTCACTGGTTTGTATTACTTACAGGCAACCGCCATATAGCAGGAGCATTGTGCTGTGTGCGACGTTAGACAACAGACAAACAAACAAACAAACAAACAAACAAACAAACAAACAAAAACGTGGGGATGAAATCGCGTGTCAACCGCGTGACGAGTTGAACCGTCAACAGCTCCCTGACCTACTGTACTCTTAAACAGCTCGACGTGATAGGCAGCACGTCAACGACATCGACTGTGACATCAACTGTGTAAATTATCCGTCAATGTGCGAGAGCTACGGCAGCCTTTTCTCGTCGTGAATATATCAATACAGTTGTTACTATTGTTATGCGTTTCTGTGCAAGTATTATAACTATTAATTTGGTTTGTAACAATGGAACATTAATCATTTGAGCATAATAATCATCAGTGTTTTGAAGAGAAATCCACACAGACACACATCGCAGAGTCTGAATATTGCATGACATTGTGGGTGTTTTCATATAGTATTTCCAAAAACACATTAATTTCCTCAAACGACAAAGGTTGTTTGTTTGCTGAAGTGTTGAATGCGCCGTCTGTTTTTTGTTAGAGTACTGCAATATCCTGTATTTGTTCGATGTTGTTGATGAAAAGAATGTGTTGTGAGCAGGGTGTATCGTGTGTCGAGTGTATCATGTGTCGAGTGTATCATGTGTCGAGTGTATCGTGTACTGAGTGTATCGTGTATAGAGTGTATCATATGTCGAGTGTATCATGTGTCGAGTGTATCGTGTACTGAGTGTATCGTGTACTAAGTGTATCATGTATCGAGTGTATCATGTGTCGAGTGTATCGTGTACTGAGTGTATTGTGTATAGAGTGTATCATATGTCGAGTGTATCATGTGTCGAGTGTATCGTGTACTGAGTGTATCATGTGTCGAGTGTATCGTGTATTATGTGTCGAGTGTATCGTGTACTGAGTGTATCGTATATAGAGTGTATCATATGTCGAGTGTATCATGTGTCGAGTGTATCGTGTACTGAGTGTATCATGTGTCGAGTGTATCGTGTACTGAGTGTATCGAGTGGGTGGTAAGGTGTCGTCAGCGAGTTGCTGTTCACAACACCAGACACCTGAGTCGCACTGAATATGGCAGCAGCACGTTGAGGTGTCTGTGAAGGTTCATTGTGGTGTCTTGTTTCACCATAGGGAACCTATATCTGTCAGGTATGATCAAACTATCTATCCATACCATGAGTCTCATTCTGAGTGAGGGGAGGTGAAATGGGGTTTCACGTCGCGTCCAAGATTATTGCACATATGCAGCGACGCATGCACGCGCGTGCGTGCGTGCGTGCGTGCGTGCGTGCGTGTGTGTGTGTGGCTGCTTGCACTAGTCCGGACTATGACTATAGGTATGCGCATGCTCGTGCGCAGGCGTGTCTGTTCATTCTGTAACATCTCCATGGTAACATACCTGTATGGCCTCCCCGAACATGAAGAACTTGGCGATGAATGTGGGCATGGTCCAGTGCACATAGATGTTGTGGACGAGCTTCTGGACCATGGGCTCGACAGGGGTGAGGCTCTGAATAAAGACACCCTTTCCGAACATGCTGGTGAACTCAAGGTACACCACCCCCGGGCCGATCTGAAACAGGGGACGAGGTCTTTCAAGGAACAGGTTCAAAACGTCAACGCCACAACAAAGCATCGCCTGTCTGCCGAAACAGATTCCATTGGGCATAAAAGGCAAATTAGTCTTGAAAATTATATCATGGATTGATAGGTGAAATTGGATTCACGGATGAGGTGAGGTGAAATTGGGTTTAACGTCGCGTCCAAGATTATTGCACATATATAGCGACGTGCATGCAAGTGTATGTGTGTGTGTGTGGCTGCTTGTACTAGTCCGGACTGATGCCCATTTATAGTGCTAGCTCACTGAGATACCATGCCGCAGTTTAACATGAATACCCCACTCAGATACAGTATACTGACTCCGAGGCGACCAGTCCTTGTTTTAGTCCCTTAATGCCGAGCGCCAGACAGGGTAACAACAAGTACCATCTTTTAACGTCTTTTGGTATGACGCGGCCGGGGATCGAACCCCGGACCTTCCACTCTCCGGGCGGACGCTCTACCATTAGACCACGGAGGCGGTCTTGAAATTAAGATGACACCAGGTGGTCGCAAAAAGGGTAAGTATACCCTGCTCTACCCACTCACCCTTTCATAAAATAGTATGTATGTGTTTGTTGTCTAACGCCGCACCCAGCGTTGCAATGGATACAATATGACGATTGAATGTTGTTAAACGCCGCGATCAGCATTCTTCCAGCTAAATCAGCGGTTGATTGCATAAATACTGACATGTCCTTGTTTGGTGACACGGTCAGTCAGGCCACACACGTTAATTATGATTCAAGCTGTATGTCAACATTAACGACGGGATGTTGCAATGGACAAGACCATTATAATAAACTGTTCACATTTATATTTATGTGAAAATTCCGTTATGCGTTTTCAAATTGAATGACGTACCTGTTGGGCGCTGATGTTCAGGTCGACGGGAGGGATGTGGATGCCGAACATGTTGATGCTGTGCTGCAGCTTGATCTGACCGATGTGGCCATCTGGGGATGGCAACGCCTGCCAATCGGCGTTCCACTCGTGTTTAGCGAAACCCCACAATTTGTTCCACATGTGACGCAGGTCTATGCCAGCACCGATGAACGACCCGTGCACCTGACCAAGATGCACCACGTCCGCACCATTCTCAGGGATCTCCTGTGGACAGATGGACATCAGTGTGTGGTCATTCGTTTGTTGTTGTTTGTTAACGCCGCACTCAGCAATATTCAAGCAACATGACGGCTGTCTCCAAATAATCGAGTCTGGACCAGTCAGTCCAGTGATTGACATCACGAGCCTCGCTTTTCGATATTGGGTACGATTACATGTGCAGCAAGATCCCACCCGATCCCTTTGGTGTGTTTTAGGCCTGAACGCTGTGTCCATTGTACACCAATGTGTCTGTCTCTATCCACTGTGTATGTGTGTCTGTGTCATATATGTTGTAGATATCAACGCAGTGTTTATTTGTGTGCACTGCAATCAGTGTGTCTGCGTGTACCCACTCTATATGTTTTCCATATGTATGTCTAATTTTGTTTGTTTGTTTGTTGTTTAATGCCGCACTCAGCAATAGTCCAGCTATATGACGGCGGTCTGTAAATAATCGTGTCTGGACCAGACAATCAAGTCATTGATTTCATGAGCATCGATCCTCGCAATTGGGATACGATGACATGTATCAACCAAGTCAGCGAACCTAACCACCAGATCGCCTCTCACGACAAACAGTGTCGCCTTTTCGGCAAGCATGGGTTGCTGAAGACCTACTCTACCCCGGATCTTCACGGGTCATTCCGCTTGTAGTGGTGGGCGAGTATGCTTTTACACAACTGTTAGAAATACCCCAGCAATACCCCAGCAATACCCCAGCAATACTCCAGCAATACCACTGCAATACTCCAGCAATATCCGAGCAATACTCGAACAATATCCCAGCAATACCACTGCAATATCCCAGCAATACTCCAGCAATACTCCAGCAATACCCCAGCAATATCCCAGCATTACTCCAGCAATATCCCAGCAATACTCCAGCAATATCCCAGCAATACTCCAGCAATACTCCAGCAATACCCCAGCAATACCCCAGCAATACTCCAGCAATACCCCAGCAATACCCCAGCAATACTCCAGCCATACTCCAGCAATACTCCAGCAATACCCCAGCAATACCCCAGCAATACTCCAGCCATACTCCAGCCATACTCCAGCAATACCCCAGCAATACCCCAGCAATACTCCAGCCATATTCCAGCAATACTCCAGCAATACCCCAGCAATACCCCAGCAATATCACCAGCAATACCCCAGCAATACTCCAGCCATATCAAGGCGGGGTAAACCATGGAGGTCCATATATACTGTACCTATGTGGGAAATAGAACCCAGGATTTCAACGTGACGTAACCACCCGGCTTTCCACCACCCTGTATTTTTTAGGTCGTGTGCGGCAGTATAAAAAACGCCATACATAAAGCATGGATACATCCTCTCTTTTCCCCGGCAGTCTTTCACGACAGCTCGCCCCTACACCGCGTGATACTATTCTCTGCCCCTAGTATGCGAGGAACGCAACAAGAATGCATGTACAATTTGAAACTTGGATCGATATGGTTTGATGAGGTTTGAGGCCATATTAAATCAATATCACTCTACGGAACATGACTTTTCATTGTTCACATGTTTGATTGTTGCATTGTTGCATACAGTCAGCAATGTGCCAGCTATACCCCAGCGGCCAGTGACTAATCATTTCTAGATCAGACAAACCAAAGGTTAATGTCATGAGCAGCGTGCCACGCCGTCGGGGCATGATGACGAAACAACATCACTTTACCGAACATGACCGCCGTGCCACATTGTCGCCTCGTTTGACAAGCAGAGATCAGTTCTAACCCGGAATCCCTAAAATGATCACTGGGCTTTATGTGTGAGAATCGAACGCTTTAATACCTGGCCACCCTGTCGATGTTTTCAAACATGAGCACGGTGACACTTCAGAGCAATGCCATTAAGAGCAGCCTTATACATTGGTCCAGGGAACTAGTGTAAACCTAAATATTCAATTGCTGAGTTTGTAGCCAGTCCTGCTTGAACGAGACACATGTGTTTACTATGTTTATATTTTCTGTCAGTTTTATTTGGTTCCAGTTTGTTGTTTGTTTGTTGTTTAACGCCGCACTCAGCAATATTCCAGCTATATGACGGCGGTCTGTAAGTAATCGAGTCTGGACCAGACAATCCAGTGATTAATATCATGAGCATCGATCAACGCAATTGGGACCGATGACATGTATCAACCAAGTCAGCGAGCCTGAACACCCGATCCCGTTAGTCGACAAGCGTGGGTTGCTGAAGACCTATTCTACCACGAAATCTTCACGGGTCGGTTCCAGTTTGTAGCAATATTGAAGCTTTGAGAACTGGTTCAAAATTATAGGACCCAAGATTATTGCACTTATATAGCGACGTGCGTGCACGTGCGTGTGTGTGTGTTTGCTTGTACTAGTCAGGACTGATGCCGATTTATAGTGCTAGCTCAATGAGATATCATGCCGCAGTTTAACATGAATATCCCACTCAGACGCTCTACCACTAGACCACGGAGACGGTGGAAGGCTAAAGGAGTACATTTCTTCCACTGTGATGACACATACCTCAATGTGAGCATTGATGATGTGCTCGCTCCGGCCCCGGTACGTCCAAGACCCGTTAGAAATCTCCTCCAACTCCGGCAACATCCATGCAGGGTCAATGCCCTCGGCGTGGTGCCACAGGTAAATCCATCCATTCAATTCCGTCACCGGCCACGACTTCACCTTGGCGATGTCAGGAACTGAAACAGGGAGTTGGTTTGTGAGTGAGTGGGACAATGCAGTTGTTATAGTCAGACATGTGTTGATATTGCGTCATTAACAACAGAAGACTGTCATCTACTCTAACGTTTCCAGATGAGGCTTCTCAGAAAGATCGGGACGGCTCTTGGACATGTAATCTGGGATTCAGATCAAAGACAAGCAGATCCTGGAAAGGCTAAGGGACACAACTCCTCACAGCGAGTTGCGGTTCCCAGCACCAGCCACAAGTTGAAGTGTTTTATGAAGGATCATTTTGATGTCTTGTTTCCCATTGGGAACCTATATCTGTCGTGTATAATCAAACCGTCTATCCTTACCATTAATGTCATTCTGAGTGAGGGAGTGAATTGGATGTAACGCATCTTTGAAGATACTATTCCAGTTATATCACGGCATGTCAGCTTAATGTGAGAGGAAAGTCCGAAGTGATGCAGGTCTAAGACGTTTACCACTTTGGTAAAACCCATGAGCACAGGTATGATGCTGACAAACCTAGAAACATGATAGAGGAGAATCGGGATATAATCCCACGATCATAGGTTTCAAGAGTGCCCAAGGGACGCAACTCTGCACAGCGAATTGCGGCGCCTTAGACGCCTCGGCAATCCATGCCCCCTGTCATTCTGAAGACAACGAGTAAAAGACTGAAGAGTAACGTTGGCAGATAGCTTAACCCTCTGCATGAACAAGCCCCACTTACTCTTGTCGGTGTAGGGGATGTGCGTACACTTCCCGTCGTCCCCCCGGAACCGCCAGGCGTGGTAGGGGCACTCTAGATTGTCCCCGAACACCCGACCCCCCGCCGCCAGGTTGGCCCCCATGTGGGGGCAGTAGGCGTTGAGGGCGTGCACCTCCCCCTTCTCGTCACGGAATACGGCCAAGTCCAACCCTGGAAAGACAACAGTGTTATTAGTTGTACAGATAATATATCTATCATTCCTAGTGAACATAAACAGCTGAACCAAACCTACCCATAGAGAGCTGAACCAAACCTACCCATAGAGAGCTGAACCAGGGTTACTCCATAGAGAGCTCAACCATGCCTAGCTCATAGAAGGCTGAGCCATGCCAACTCCATAGAGAGCTGAACCAAACCTACCCATAGAGAGCTGAACCAGGGCTACTCCATAGAGAGCTCAACCATATCTACCCATAGAGAGCTGAACGATGCCTACCAACAGAGAGTTGAAGCATGGCTACCAACAGAGAGCTGAACGATGCCTACCAACAGAGAGCTGAACCATGGCTACCAACAGAGAGCTGAACCATGGCTACTCCATAAAGAGCTGAACCATGCCTACCTCATAGAAGGCTGAGCCATGCCTACTCAATGGAGAGTTGAGCCATGCCTACCTCATAGAAGGCTGAGCCATGCCTACTCAATAGAGAGTTGAGCCATGCCTACCTCATAGAAGGCTGAGCCATGCCTTCTCAATAGAGAGTTGAGCCATGCCTACAAAATAGAGAGCTGAACCACATCTACCTATAGAGAGCTGAACTATGCCTATCCATAGAGAGCTGAACTATGCCTACCAACAGAGAGCTGAACCATGGCTACCAACAGAGAGCTGAACCATGGCTACTCCATAGAGAGCTGAACCATGACTACCAACAGAGAGCTGAAGCATGGCTACCAACAGAGAGCTGAACCATGGCTACCAACAGAGAGTTGAAGCATGGCTACCAACAGAGAGCTGAACCATGGCTACCAACAGAGAGCTGAAGCATGGCTACCAACAGAGAGCTGAACCATGGCTACAGACAGAGAGCTGAACCATGGCTACCAATAGCGAATTTGGCTTCACGCTGATGCAAACGCTTTTTCCCCTGAGGTGAAGCATGCAGCTTACTTCTATCCACCTCAGCGGATCCTCGAGTGGCTGGAGGATGCAAAACTGTTCCTTAAAGCCGCGTGGACACCTCTGCAAATCTGCTAAAAGTCACACGGCTACTCAGGGCAGCGAACGCTCACGACCTTACAATAAGCACCACGCAAAGGCCGATATATACTTTTATATCCGGAAATGCCGAACGTTATTACGACAGGAATGGAATAACGTCTATCCCATAAACTTCATGTATATGTCATTAACTATGTAACATACACCATATCACATAATACATATTACATCTGGCGCCACAACACAGTACTATTGCGCAACGAGACACCTGAAACCGTCCTGATATAGCATCTAAACATCGTGTTATACCGTATTGTGAACGAATAAAACCTATCGCGTCATTTGACAGCGTACATGGTTTCATTGAAGACAAATAGTTAATTTGCGAAGGCGTTAACTATTTACCCGAGACCTAATTCGAAACGTTTGGCTGAAATAGTTTCATTCTTGGTGCCCGTTTGTGTGTCAACTCAACACGGCTGTCATTTAGCAAGAACCTGTTTAGCGACAGTCTGCTGGGAAATATTGACAGTTTTGCTACCGGTGTCCGACTTTCATTTATTTGTATGATTTGTTTATTGTTTAGCGCCGCACTCAGATATATGGCTGCGGACTGTCAACAATCGAGTTTGAACCAGACAATCAGGTGGTCGATATTGTGAGCAACGAGCCACGCCGTCGGGGTACGATGACACGCAATCAACCAAGTCACCGAGCCTGTCCACCCGATCCCCTTGGTCGCCTCTGACGACAAGCATAGGTTGCTGGGGGCCAGATCTAACCCGGAGTCCCCAGGGTGATGCCCGACTTCCATGTTAAAAGATTTGGGCAACACATAGCTGGTATGTTCATGTTATACATGCATGTGCTGGCCAATAGCTGCCACGATACTACCCTCGCAACAGGGGTTCTGATATGCACGGCATCATGTTTCATCAGTTTACTGTACTACTCAAAAGAAGTTAAGAACCACCCGATTCTTTCACATAACTCTTGTCATGCCGTGACAGATTAATCATAGTAATATAAAAAAAATCGGGCGGTCCTTAACTCCTTTTGAGAAATATATTTTAACCTTAAAAATACATTATTTAGATATCTGATAATTAAGAAATCGATATGTTTAGAGAAATATTACTTTTTTCTAATTACAAGAGTAGTAGAAATTCCGATAACATGCTTGTCGTAAGAGGCGACTTAAGGATCAAGTCAGGCTCGCTGGCTTGGTGGATGCATGTCATCGTATCCCAGTTGCGTGGATCGATGCTCATGACGTCAATCATTGGATTGTCTGGTCAAGACTCGATTATTTACAAAACGCCCTCATAAAGCTGGAATATTGCTGAGTGCGGCGTTAAACAACAAACAAACAAACAAACCATAGTTTAATCGTGCATAGCTGAAGTGCTCCTGCCGATGCGTACAGTGATTAATTAACCGCTAAAACACTACTTTATTCTGACCTCGATAATCCGGACGACTAATGTATTCGCACGGATTAACAAATTACCGGATTAACGAATCATGACATATAATAATTTGTTTTATGAAGGCACAACAGAGAATTCTTCCTCGCATATATTTCGGAGTGTCTAGACTGAAGGTGTCCGTGATAACAGAGTTTCACTGTATGTCTTTTGTACCTGTTAAACATCGCGTTGACGGGTTAATTTGTAGTCATTTGGCACATCAGCAATATTGTCAGCAGAAGTCGGTAAACATCCTTCACGCGACCGTGTTCTCCAGCCTTGTACAACGTCGGAATAACACCGCAATGTTTGCTACTACGGCAGTCTAAAGAGCAGCCCAACCCCCGAGAACTTCCAAAGCATTCTTCATGTGTTTGAAAGGTTCTGTCATTTGTGACGTGCAAAAAAGGTTTATCTGTTTTCCCTTGAGGGCAACACTTGTATTTTTGTTGTGACAAGAATGTTTGTGGCCGAGTGTTTCCTTTGAATATATTTTCTGCTACATTGATAAAATCAAGAAAGTTATTTTCAAAACAAAACCCAGACAAGATTGTATCAGCAGATGAAGTGCGGTGGAAGCAGAGGTTTGGGACTAGACCTGTTACGTCATTGGTGGAATAATGTTCTTGAAACAATCGTGAACATTTGAAAGTGTCGGTCGTATGCTTAATAATATACTTACGTTTCAGTAACAAGCTACGTCTCTCAGAGTCAACAGGTTTAAAATAATTATGGAATCGTATTTTTAATTTAATTGTCATAGCGACTGATTTACGACACCCATTGTCTGAAGAACATTTAATTGCAAAGGCTCATTACCCTGGAGCCATGACATCTATATGCCTTGAAACACTTAATTGCTGTTATTTATAAGATGCTAATCCTAACTGTTAATCCCCATTTTTGTGTACATCGACCGTCTGCCATCCTGCTGATGAATTACTGTTTACATTTATTTTTATTGCTTACTTAATGTCAGGTGACCTTGGCTATATAAGCCTTGGTTCAGAGAGAGTGAAAAAAAAGAAAGGTCTTACCCTTAGCCTAGCTAGGGTTAGGCTGGGTGCCCCGGGGCACCTAGACAACAACCACAACCACTATGTGCTGACCTGGCACATAGTGTCTTTTGTATGTATATATCTACCTGTATAAAGTAAAACTGTATATACCGCAAGCCATCGTCTCCAAGTTGTCACTTCCTACAGGAACCATACGTCGGACCCTTGCATATACGAATGTGCAAATTATTCATTAATCAACTTCAGACCAAACGCGTTGTTATAATTACAGTAAACTACGGTTATAACGAACACGCTTATAACGAACTGACGGATGTAACGAACTTACTTTTTTGGTCCCGACTACTTGCTGTAGTTATGCTGTATATGTTTTTATAACGAACTATGGTTATGACGAACTAAAATTAGTAGTCCCTTTGAGTTCGTTATAACCGTAGTTTACTGTAACAACTACTTTGCCTTGGGTAGGCTACTGCTTCGTGTATAATGTATGCATGTCCGTAACATCAAAATAAATAACTTTAATTGTTAGTTAAGTTGCTGTTCACTCAACCATAAATTGTGTTTTTAAAAAAAGTTGTTTAACTAACGGGAGACTCGTTAATGGGAGGTTACGTCGGACACGTCTTATTTTGAATGTCTGGAGGTTTGGAACTGACGTTTTGATAGATACAGTCGAGCCTTGTTATGACGAACCTAGGTACAACATTCTACACTAAAACCCGAGTTTGGACCGAGTCAAAGGTTCAACATAGCGCAATGTTCAACATTTGTATTTTCGCCTCGAATTCGAGATAAACGGGCAAATTTATGTATTTATGTATTGAGGCCGTCGGGTTCGAATAGGTTCGATATATCGGTACATTCGGGGTAACAGGGATCGACTGTGTGTCGTACATTGATTTGTACTCTAGCGAACATGAACTCTAGGGAACAATATCCCAAAATGCCGTTGAACAGGTCCGTTGAATGTATCCGCCTGCGTGGTTTTCACACAGCGATAGGCAGTCTTTTCTGTGGATAACAATTTAATATTTGTGCAGAGTTATCGCCCCTTTGTTTCATCCATGAAGAAGAGAGAAACACTAGAGAGAGGTACTAGAAATTCATCTTCCAGACAATTAATTGTCACAAGTTGGGCATTCTCTTATGGGAATATTAACCATCATCCTTCAATTTTCAGATTAAGACCAGAACGCAAGCAGATGAGTTCATTGGGGAATTTCTTGTCATCCAAATCTGTCAAATATTTTTTTCTGATTTAAATATAATAATCTAAGCTTGATGTGTCAGCTTGATGAGGTAGGAGCTTTTTTCCAAGTTTAGTCGACTTTGACGACCCACTTATCCACTCCCCTTACCAAGTATAATAAAACATGTTCACTCAACGTTAAGCAATACTGTTACATCATAATGCGTAGCGCAACCCCTTCCGCTGATGTACATGTTGAGACGCATTATCACGTGTGTGAGTGGGTGAGTTGGGTTTAACAGTATTTC